AACTTGTACCAGTTCACACGTGTACCCATGGGCCTAGCTGTGGGGGCCCAGACCCTCACCAGACTTCTGGACTCCATCTTCCATGACGTCAAGTTCAAATTTGTGTTCAACTATCTTGACGATCTTTTGGTGTACAGTGAGAGCTTTGAAGACCATCTGGTTCATCTTGAGGAAGTCATGAATAGGTTGCTTAGGGCTGGCCTTACCGTAAATCCCGAGAAAGTTAGTTTTGCTCAGGCTGAGATTTCTTTCCTAGGTCATCTAGTATCTTCACGAGGTGTCTGTATCGATCCGGCTAGAACCCAGGCTATCAGGGAGTTTCCTCCTCCCAGAGATGTCAAAGGCATTGCCCGTTTCATTGGCATGGTGGGTTTCTACCGGCGTTTCATCCCCAATGTGGCTGAGTTGGCGGCTCCTCTCAATGAGCTTCGGAAGAAGGGCGCCAAGTTTGTTTGGGGTGAAGCACAACAGATGTCTTTTGATCTTCTGAAAGAAGCTATCATGCAACCTCCAGTTTTGGCGATGCCAGATTTCAGTCGAAAGTTTGTTTTGCAAACCGATGCTTCCTCCGTCGCTATTGCGGCTGTGTTGTCTCAAGAGGTAGATGGTGTTAGGCAGCCAATTGCGTATGCCTCACGCACTTTGAACCCTTGCGAAAAGAAAAGCTCTTCTGTGTATGAGTTAGAGTGTTTGGCTGTCGTGTTTGGAGTGAATAAGTTCAGACGTTTTTTGGAACACAAAGAGTTTTTGCTGGAAACCGACAACCAAGCGCTCTCGTGGCTCCTTGCACATCCTCGCCAGCTTGGGAAAATTGGTCGTTGGGTGGTCCAAATATCTTCCCTCAAATTCCAAGTGCAACATGTTCGAGGCACGCAGAATGTGATTGCTGACACTTTATCAAGGATGTATCACTCACCTGACGACCAACCTTCTGATCAGGAGGAGCACACTGGGTGTGCCGTGCTCCTGGAGTTTCCCCTTGCCTTTTCTGAGTTCATCCCACATCAGTTAAAAGATCCCGAGCTGGCTAAAATCATTGGTGAGCTTCAAAATGGGGGAGCCCACCCCCCGTATTTTCTGTCCCAGGGTGCCCTTTGTTGTCGAGACCGACAGCGGGGTAAACCCAAGGTTGTGCTGCCTAGTCTTCTTGTACCCATGGTCTTTGCGTACTTTCACTCTTCCCCTGTGGGTGGGCATTTAGGGATTCACAAGACCATTGCGAAGGTTAGGGACATGTTCATCTGGAAGGGTATGGACAGGGACATTGCGGCACGAGTACGTTCTTGTCAAACATGCTCGCTAAGCAAGCCTGCTCAGAATACCAAGTATGGGTTGTTGTCATCTGAGGTGGCGGAGAGACCTTTGGAGAAGGTTTTCATAGACTATGTAGGGCCTCTCCCACGTAGCAAGTCAGGAAACAAATTCTTGCTTGTTTGTGTGGATGCCTTCTCCAAGTTTTGTTGGCTTTTTCCTTTGAGGAACGCCACTGCACAGCTCACCGTGCAGGCACTTCGTACCCATTTGTTCCAACACTTTGGGATACCCGCCACCATTGTTTCCGACAACGGAACTCAGTTCGTGTCTCACCTTTTCAAAAGAATGTGCTTTGGGCACGGTATCCGTCATGTGACCACTTCTCCTTACTATCCACAGCCTTCCCATGCTGAGAGGTTCAACAGAAATCTTCGATCCGCTCTCATAGCTTTTCATGCTGACAAGCAGACCACCTGGGATCAGGAACTTCCTTGGATTCAATTTGCTTTCAATACTGCACACCATGAGAGTCACAAGGCGGTCCCTTTCGAGCTGTTGTTGGGCTATCCACCCAATAATCCCTTGGCAAATGTGTGGAAAATTGGCGACCTTCTGCCACCCCCTGGTGCAGCCAATGTCAAGGCAACTTGGCAGGCGGCTAGGAGGAACTTGATCAGGGCTAGGGAATTGGTCCGGAGGAAGCACAATCGAGGTCGGTTGGACAATCCTTTCCAGGTGGGGGATTTGGTTTTCTGCAAGGCTCATCCGGTCAGTTCGGCCGTGGACAAGAGAGCCGCTAAGTTGTCTCATCGGTGGTCAGGTCCCCACCGCATCTTGAAGTTCTTGACTCCTGTCTCCGTGCGGCTGGGAGATCCGCAGACTGGAGAAGTTTTCCGGAGGGCTCACATTTCTCATCTGAAGCCTTTCCGGGGAACAATTCCGTAGGTCATCTTTCATTACTCTTGTGTCTGAGTGGGAAGTGCACTGGGCCAGAGAGCTTGATCACCTCTTCTGTCCCTTGTGCGCTGCTGAAGATTTTTCCCTAGTAAATTTTCCAGCACTGGCCAGTGCAACCCCTGGGGGTGAGTAGTCCCTCCAGTTGAAAGACCTTTGGCGTTCCCCACTTCAGACACTTGAGTTGATCTGTGGTGTTGAGATCTTCTAGAATTGGGAGAGGTTGTTTTCTTTTTTTTGGAGAGGAAGTCCTCCTTTGGGGGGGGAGGTTGAGCCGTGACTTGCCCACCAAGCGTCCCACCAATGTCACGCCTCAGTTTTTTTTATAGTGCGAGTACTGGCTTTGCGCCGGAACTCAATCGGTTTGGGTCTGGCAGCAGTCCTGCAGACCCCGGGGCAATTTTTCCGCTGTCGGACACATTTTCGGCAGAAGGACAGCGACTGTCATTACTACACACACAGTTTGTTTTGTTATTAATGTGCATAAATATGTATCTGCGTCCATCGTCAGAGAAGATTGTTTTATCTTCATTGCCTTAACTCTTTCTGATGTAGATAAGTGTTTTGCCAGACGTCAGATGAGGTCCCGGATGTGAGGTTTCACCAGCCGCTGTCCTCGGAGAGGGTCGCCCGGAGGGACACGCCATCTTCTTCCTCCTTGGGCTGCCTACGGCCCAGCTTCTCCGGGGACCATTATGCCGCCCTCCATCCAGACATCCAGATGTGATGTTTTCCGACATGCAGATGGAACACCGCCACTAGTGTGATATGACAAGTGCCACCTAACCTAACGCAAGTTATTTTGAAAATATCAGCTTTTTGAAAGACTTTCTAAAAGGGGCCCCAAATTATTTATTATTTGTTATTTATTTGTAAGCTAATTGTTATTTATTTATTTGAAAGTTATTTATTTATTTAAAGTTTTAGTTCACTGTTACCATCCATTTACAGTTACCATCTTTAATTTTTTCTTGTTAGGCCTAATTTGTTACTGGTACCAGTTTTGTAATTCAGAAGGGTAAATTTTTTGAAAGATTTTTTAAATGAATTCTTTGGATGGCTGACATTGTTGATTATTGTTATTTTGTTGATTTTGATTAAATATAGGCTTTGTTGACAACTGTTTGTTTTTTGGATATTCACCCACGGCCTTTCATTTTTGTTAGGGATGTGGGGCGACCACTCGCACTGTCACTATGGGGGGCATGCTTCCAATAGTTGTTCGTCTGGGGGCGGTGCGAGGGGTCGGCTCAACATCTCTGTATTGGATATTAGCTCTAACACAACCTACAGTTTCTAATTTTGTTCTACCAGCCCCATACAACTCAACTAGAGTCGGCTGGATCCTACTTGGATCAACCATGCCAGGGGGAATTACTGTTACATCTGCCCCTGAATCAATTTTAAATGTTTGTGGTTTTCCCTCAAATACTAGGTCTAGTTTCCAGGGCTTACATTTCGACCCATCCCCAAGTGTACCTATGAATACTTTATTATTTGAAGGTCCAAGTTCACTTACTTCATTTTCGTCAGTTACTTCCTGTGCTTCTTTAGATCTGCAGACCTTCGAAAAGTGACCAATCTTTTTGCACAAGTTACATGTTGCGCTTTTTGCTGGACATGTGCTTCTTGGATGGGACGGTTTATAACCACACCAGATACATTGTGCTGGGTATTCTCGTTTCTTTTGACGAAACCTATCTCCTTGATTTTGGTTTGAACTCGATGACGTAGTTGCTTCAATTTGAACTCTTTTCTCATCACATAAATTTGTCTTCTCTTTCTTTACGTTATCTGCATGTCGTATTACTGTAATGGCCTTGTCTAAATTCATCTCGGGATCTAGCAACAAGCGATCACTAAGTTTCTCATCATTTAAACCCAGTATTAGTACCATCAACACCATTTCATCATTAAGTGAACCCCAGTCACAGGTCCTAGCCAAGGAATGGAGACTAACTATAAACTCTTCAACTGTTTCATTAATTTTTTGTTGTCTCTTCAAAAACTTTGCTCTTTCGAAAATTAAGTTCCTACGTGGAATAAAATGTTTGTCAAATAAATCTAAGGCTTCTTCAAATGTTAGCGTTGATTCGGTTGCTAAATTGAAAGATGCAAAAATCTCATCAGCTTTCTCACCTAATGTGTATATCAGAGTGTTGATTTGTTTGTTCTCAGACTCTTCAGATAATCCAGATGCTGAACGATATCTTTGAAATCGTGTTTTCCATCTTGGCCAATCTGCTGGTACAAAGGAGAAACTAGCTGGAGGTTGAATAACTGAATGAGTGTTTGATACAATGATTGACTTCTTAGTTGAATTGTTGTATTCATTTTCTCTGCTTCTTTCATTTTGTTCTTGTTCATTTTCATTATCTTCATAGTCAGATTGTTTCCTTCTTGGATTTCTCTTTTGAGGCATAGCTCTAAACCGCTGCCACCATGTACTATTTTACTAAGAATTAAGTGGATGCACTGTTTTATGTCATAACTCAAACTCAACTAACTTTATTTACCTTTTTACAAACATAGAATAACAAATAAACATATGATTATAATTAATAGAAATTAACAGGTGTTATGAAATAAACTGTTCTCACAACAGGTTCTACGTATTGGCCCTTTGCATATTGAAGAATACATTCACATCTAACTCTACACATGTACACAATGGCCTGACAACTTTCTCCCCCCCCCCACCCAAAATTGTAAGTCTATGTCTTACAGATGCTGCGGGTCTTTGGATGCCTCTGTCCATTTCTTTCTAAACAAACATTATACAACTGTTACAGGCAGTATCAACTGTAAGCTATGTATGCAGCAGCTTGTACACCTGGTGGACAACTCCCTCGACGGTAAGTTGATTAGTTCTTAAACACTTTTTAATTCATATTAAGAAAAGTGACAAACTGTGATTTAAAATCACAGTTTTTGAAGATTCTCATTCAAATAAGCAGGTCTTCTACACCTTTGTAGGACATGAATATACAGGTCCATCCATCTAAGTGTTATTTAACCAGGAAATCACTACTTGGTGTATACATTATGGGATAGAGACTTGTATTCAGCATGATTGTCAGTAAGAAAGCTTCTAAAATAGTGACATTTTCCAATTTTAACAAGTTGGATAAACCGAGTTCACCCCATTTTCTTGTGGAGGATAATAATGTCTTATTGACTGACCATTTTCTAAGTTCTTGAGACCTAAAATGTAATAATCAAGGGCTAAGTCCCTGGACAGGCAAAACTTGAAAGACTAGATTTGCGGTTTTGCTAGATTTAGCATGATTGTTGGTCTTGACCCATACAGCCAATAGGGATATTTTCGGATTTTAACTCCCTTCCTAATGACAGAATCCCCATGTGCAATAGACAGAATCGTCCAGGCGTCATGACACTTAATTTTTATGGTCTTTGCAGGTTGGCAGCCCGCAGTTTGCTATGGGCCCCAAGTTATCCCCTATCCACCTACTTTGCCAGGGAATTTTTCTCTTCGGCCAGAAGCGGCCCTGGACCTATGTCTTAATATGAACATAAGTTGTCTACATTTCCGGTTAATAGACAGTTTTATTTTTGAACACTGCTTCAATTAAAAGTATGAGCATGGGCATACATACAAATATTTGAAATTGGGTTTAGGTGTTGTAAAATCCAAAAAAGTGTAGCGTTCCCAGATATACTAGCTGTAGGTCGCTCTGCATAATAGACACTTCTGTGTACAGGTAGTATTCACTTAAATATGTTTTAGACGAGCAGTATACATAAAATAAACACACATGTTTCTTGTACGAACCAGTTTGGTTTTGAGTAGACGTATTTTATTTATTGCCGACATTTTTATTGTTTTTCTTTTCTATTTCATTCCATATTTTAAATCATCTTGTGTTACAGGAGGAGCTGCCAGAGGATGTGGTCTATCCAGGAGGTCCTGACTTTCCACGAAAAAAAAATAAAAGAGGACATAACGTGAGATTTAGCTTACAGAACCTTATAGAAACCAGACATACCTATGAAGTAGACGATGAAAAACAAGTAAAACAACAACAACAACAACAACAACAACAAACAACAACAAACAAGTAAAACGATGAAGTAAAAATTATCTCAGTTGTTTTTTCTTTCCTGTTAACACCAACTACCCACGTTGTGGTGAAAGGGGGCCTTATGATTATTAGTATCGTCAGATGGGTAAAGTCTCAAATTGGTTTGCCGGCACTGCGGCCAAACGGTTTTCCAGTAATGTAATGATGAAAACCACTTTACAAATCAAAGGCCTTTGTTTAAATTATGTTACTTGAAAAGACACTACAGAGGAGAATAGGTAATAAATTATACATAATAAGCCAATTGTGCTGCTATTGCAATGAAACGGATTCACGGTGTACTATGATACACACATTTAACACATTGTGTATTGTGGTGTACGAACAGATTTAACACATTAAATAAACTACCCCTTTAAATGTGATATTGAATTTTACATTGTTACATACAGAATATACCTATACAAAATTATGAAAAAATTATTACAGAATACATTTTTGATGACAAGATAATGATCATGTCTCCTAATGGTCCTAGAGAGAAAATATTATCATCAATTTTATCCTACTAATATTATAAATGAGAAAGTTTGGATGTATATGTATGTATGTATGTTTGTGACAAGTAAACGCGAAAAATACTGGTCGGATTGGGCTGAAATTTGGGGTGATGATAGCTCACATTCCAGATAGCCTAGGCATATTGTTATCTCAAAACTCCTTTCAGGCTCCGCCCTAGTGGCTCTGGAGTTTCCCATGTTAACCTTATGGGTATTCACATTTTAAAGGAATTAAATAGTTTTTTCTGCTGATTCGACCAAACAAAAGTTTGTTCTATTATATTCAATAGCATTAAAAAGTTATAAAGTTTACCAACAGAGTGCAGCACTATTATATTTTTACTTTCTCCCCCTATACCATAGTCCTATATGGAGAAAGTATTGTTTTCGTCAAAATTTTTGAGTTTGAGTTTTTAGTGGATATATTCGTTTTGGGTCCCCCTGGAGCCAAAAAGTGGTTTTCGAAGTGATGTCTGTGTGTGTGTGTGTGTCTGGATGTGTACAGAGCTATAGACTACACCTGTGGTCCGATTTCGATGAAATTTGGTATGTAGGCTCTAATCCATGGTATCTCCAGGTGTTTTTTTCATTCTGAACAAAATGGTACAAATCCCATCTGTAAAAATTACGGTTCAAAAGTTATTGTAAATTATGTCATTTTCCTGTAAAACCCCCATAAAATAACAGAAAAATCGGATTTTCGCAACGGTTTTGATAAAAATTTTGTATGTTATAGTCCTTTAAATTCTGAACAAAATTGTACAGATCCCATTTCCGTATATTTACTCTCACCGCTTACACATAATAAAGGTTGTTGACAAACTTATGGGAGAAAGTATGTGTCAAAATGCTGATACCGTTTATTTACTTTACACTTTACACAACCGCCATTGAAGCGCCGTGTCAATGAGTGGAAACCATGTTTCTAAGCTATTGGCGATGATCATTATTAAATGTAAGTTTCCCAGCCGTATACAACACTGATTCAAGGTCTTCTTTCTGGTTATCAAAACTCAAGAACAATTTATACACAACGAATCTCTGGTTCCTGAACTGGGTGATGCCTAGTTATTTAATTTCATTTACACGGTTACACTATTACATTATATTATTGCACTTTCGATTAATTAAATCCGTTATGTAAGAAAAACGTGTTTAATCTCACTTGGTTGGGATTTCCATTCAAAATGTGATTGAAAAAGGTTGCGGTATTTGTAAACAACATTTGTAAACATATAAGTGACAGTTAGGAAAAATAATCTTGATCCGAACAGCTGTTCGTTATTTCATTGATGATTATGCAATAAAAATTGGACGAAAACTTGACATAAATCACACAAAACTACATTTTTGAACGTTTGTAATATTATTTACAATGTAGTGAGGCCATACTTTAATGGCTAAAGACAATCTCGCAAATCCAGTGAATACATTAAAATGACTTGGATCTTGATAGGTACTCTCGTTTTCCAGGAGAAGATAGCGTAAAATGCCATCTTGAGTGTTACAGACAGAGGGAAAGACAGACAGACAGACAGATAGAAATTGAGATAAGACTCGTTTCTGCTTATTTAATGTATAAGACGTAAAAATAACCTAAAAATATATAATTCTGAGCAATGTACAGACAAAACTCTAATTTTATTTATTGTTTAATTAATTAATATGTTATTTGGAATATATATTTTTGGGTTCAAGGGTACTCAAATCGGATATATCCACTCAAAACTCAAACTAAAAACAATACTTTCTCCATATCTTATGGTATATAGGGGGAGAGAGTGATAATAAAACTTCTGGTTTCATAGCCGCAGTAAATATTTGAAATGCTGAACATTGAAAATCACTTACAGTACGGTACGGTTGCTGTCACTGCCGATATCTATCTCTGCCTGGCGTACGTCAATTGCCAATTTGTCAGAATATGATAGATACCGGTATCAATTAGTTATCAATTTTCCTGTTCGCAGTGTACATGCATAATCTACTGGCAGACCTTATTACAGTGCTACCGCTAAGCAGCAACACGACAACATGCAACTGTGTTCTACAAACGGTATTTTCGTAACGGTAAGACATTTTTCAATAGTTACCAGTATGTTCAATTTTTATTTTTTTGACATAGGCTACATTTCTAAGAGTAACCAACTTTACCACCGATCATCCTAAAGTTCAATAACCTGACATAATCAACTAATTTGCTTGAGCTCAAAATCATATCAAATAATTTTACTGGGCCAAAGTAACAATAATACAGTATGCATTGGCCAGGTCAGAACTGAACAAAAATCTGTTAGGGGGCCTATATTATTACGTGAGGGCTGTTTTTTGTGAAAAAAAAAACTCCTCCGTTATTTCTCGACCGATTTTAACGTTTTAACGTTGTCAAATAGTTCGTCTCAATTTGTAGTTTTATATAAAGGATTTAGAAATTTAAAACTCTTATCCTTAAGAGGGTTCCCTACCCCCACTGAAAAACGTCAGAAAACCGCTTCGCGCGGTATCATATAGCGATTCTAGTTTTAACATTTAAATTGTGAACCAAACACCATTTTGTACATAAAGAGTGGTTCTACTAAGTTTGCTTTTTAAAAAATGTCTATGCTTACGCAATCAAGGGCAACGACTTGTCAAAGTTAGTGAACTTTAACTGTAAAGTTCACTAACTTTGACAAGTCGTTGCCCTTGATTGCGTAAGCATAGACATTTTTTAAAAAGCAAACTTAGTAGAACCACTCTTTATGTACAAAATGGTGTTTGGTTCACAATTTAAATGTTAAACCTAGAATCGCTATATGATACCGCGCGAAGCGGTTTTCTGACGTTTTTCGTCGGGGGTAGGGAACCCTCTTAAGGGCACGAGACGCTGTCAAAGGTCGCATTTTCCTCATAAGAATTACATTGAAAACAAATTTAAAAACATAAACAGCTGTATATAAAAAGAAACTCACCAGCTTTTTGGGAGTAAATATTGATGTTTGTAATATTTAGGAGGTTATAGACAAAATCTAAACAGTCAATCAGTTTTGTTGGAAGAACAGAAAATTTCTTGAGTTAAGGAGAAATATTGAAAACAGGAGGAGGAGACAATTAATAGGAAATCTTATACGTATGAGAAGAGTAGGGGAGAGGCCTGGTCTCACAGTAAGGAATCCAGGTACACAATCACTTGGGGAGATGAATCATTTTTGCCAGTTATACTAAGCAACTTATTTTGGAAGTAAAAAAAACCATGAAGAATATACACATCATGTTGTCACAGTGGTAAAGTAAACCTACCTAAAGTCAGATCAAATAAATACATGCAAGAAATGTTTTCTGGTAACAGCTTTAAGTCGGGAAACATTTGTAGAAAACACTAAAAAATAAGGCCGGATCCAAAAAATGCTAAAATATTTTTACAAGAAGCGTTTATTTCAAAGCGCTATTAAATAGCGTGAGTATTTCAATTAATTACATAAGCATTTAGTCGGGTCTTTTAAACTCATCGAAAATTATGATTGTTATTACTGTAGGTTTAAAATAACTTCTGTATAATACTGGTACGGTACTTGACAATTGCTCGATTTCAAGCAACAGGTACACTATTACTAGGTATACTATACAGCAATTACTAATTCTAATATTTACAATAGTTATACATATTAGAGCTTTTAATACATTTTATGAATTCTTGGATGCTGTAACATGTTATATTTTGCAATTTATGTTTTACCTTTTTACATTTTAAAGGCTTGGTTCCAACTTGGATAATAGAAGTGAGTTAAACAGCTTTATGCAAATGTACAATGTGTGTTTAAAAAAAAATGTTTTGTGTTTAGGAATTGGCAAGTTATATGAATTGCGCAATGTGTATTGATTTTTAGTATAGAAGTCAAAATTAGAAAAGTTTTTTTTCTATTCTTGAATCTAACAAAAAACCACTAAGTGGTAACACTTCCCCCGCCAAGTCAGCAACCCAAAAAAGACAATAAATCACCACTTTTCCGCCAAGTAAAACAATGTAATGTATGTAAGTTTGGCCACTTGGCGGCAGACTTTTGCTTGTTTTTTTTTCATTAAAGTTACGTTGGTGGATAATTTCACAAATCAACTTCTCTAATTAATTAGTCCAACTAAGAATAATAATTTCGAGGTAATCAGTAAATATAAAACCATCACTATTATGATTTTATGAAATGTGACACAATTAAGGTCAAATTTTGTAAAATAAGCTCTCATCTAGCAATGTACTATTGGGAGAGATACTTGCTCAATGAAACTAATTTTATGGTATTTTTTAAAGTGATCAAGCAAAAGTCTGCCGCCAAGTGGCCAAACTTACATACATTACATTGTTTTACTTGGCGGAAAAGTGGTGATTTATTGTCTTTTTTGGGTTGCTGACTTGGCGGGGGAAGTGTTACCACTTAGTGGTTTTTTGTTAGATTTTATTTATTTTTGTAGAAAATTAACAGTTAAAATAAAATCCTCTTTTCTCTTATATATAGACCAGGGCG